TCCATATGATTTTTAATTCTCCTATCCTCCCTTTAATTCGACAAGAAATTTATCAGGTTTTTAACATATAACCAATGTTGGACGTTGTGACAAAAAAGAACAATGTTGGACGAAACTAAAAACCGGTCCTCATCAACCAAAGATTCAGCTACTATAAAGAAAAAAAAAGATTCAGCTGATGTGGTGTAGTGTAGATTGTTTTTATCTTTAATAACCCAAGAAAGAAAGATATAACGGATCAATTTATGTTGAAAACAAGGCCAATCTGAACCATGTGGTAAGGGTATAAACTTTCAGTCATGCATTAACATGCTATACACATGATCTCCTCAAAATTATATCAATAATATTTGATTTCGAATAATTAACATTGTATTTTTTTTTTAAATTATTCCCCCAAAAAAGAGATACTCTTGCGAAATACAAATTAACATTGTATTTGTTTGTTGTCTGTACTTTGAGAGTTTAATATAATTTATTTCCAATTTTATATTAAGTTGTATGTAATGTAACTAAAAATGTATTGAACTAACTCTGGAGTGTGAATGTAAGTTAAAGAGTTAGAACGATAAATATGAGAACCCTTGTAGGACAAAAGAGTGCAAGGAGGGGCCAGCACCGAAGGCGATAAGGAGCTTTTTTGCCGTGATGATGTTGCCTGTGTTATTACGTAACCACTCATGTTACGCCACGTTATTTAATTTTATTTGATTATTTACTATTTATGTTTTTACAACAAGTATTTTCTGTTTTTCACTTGAGTTCAATTTATGTTTCTTACAATATCATCAATTAAAATTTAACATAATGAGCCTACTTAAGAAAAATAAAATAAAACATTCGATATATATATATATATATATATATATATATGCTGTACAATTATTATACAATTTACATAATTATTCAACATCTGATTAATTAAATTTGATATTGAAATATTTATAAGTATTTTAGAACATGTTCTGTAACTAGTAAATCAACTACTACGTACAATCTTACAAGCTTACTAATGTTTGATCATATAAACATATTACATCCAAAGATTTTTGTCATTGTTGTTGCAACATCTATTCATCAAGGCAAGACACAGAAAACTGAATAAGACAGACTAATTAAATCATGATATTGTTTATTAAAAATAAAAAAAATATGCGCATCAATTTCACCAACGAATCTAGTAACCTAACATGAGCAGCATACTATATTGGTGTTGTATATGTGACGGTCAACAAAGAAGTAGGGATTGGTTAGTTTAATCCAAGAGTGTAGTGATATTTGAGTAACATCAACACGGGAAAATAAACGCAGTGGATGAAAGTAAGCAAAAAAGTATACTTATGTGATTAGGACATATCTAAATTAAAACTAAAACAGTATTTTTTTTTTTTTTTTGAAACACAACTAAAACAGTATTATCTTTAGTTTTTTTAAACGTAACGTCTGGATGATCCAAGAAATTGCAGTGCTTATACTTATTTTTTTTTCTTTTGAGGGCGGTCTGATCTCACCACCACCCAACTACGCCACAAAATGTGACTATTGTGGCCACGGTGACCGTAACGCCCTAAACGTAAAGCCACGCATATATAACTAATTAGTTTCTTCAATAAAGTAAACAAACGTACTTTATTTGAAGTTGTCGCATTCAATAGTTGGTAGATATATTCTACAAAATCATATTACTTATCTATCACACACATAGATAGTGAAAACTTATTCAACACTTCAGGTAGAGAGTGATAGCTAAGATATAATTAAAGACTCCCAAAAATCTGAACAGAATCTTCTCCTAAGAAAGTATGGAATAAAAAATCACAAAACAAAATAGAAAGCACATTTCCTTTTGCATCATGGAAGTTTTTGTCTCTGTTTACATTTACATGTGCCTATATATATGGGTTCATATAAGCCTAGAGAATCCGCCAATATCGGAATACTCAGTCTTTCATGATCTCAACAACATAAACAAGACAAAACGCTTTTGTCTCTTTAGCTAAGTCTACGAGGAAGCAAGAGAGGAACCCAATCTAATATTCTTATAAATTTCGCATACACAAGAAGAAGATCCAAGTAAGTTTGTTTAAGTATATCAAACTATGTGTGTGTTTTTCCAGTTTTTGTGATGTTACAATATATCACCAAATAATATGTTCACAAAAAAATACATTATCACCAAATAATATGTTCTTAGGCTATAAGTACAACTATTTTCTTTTTCTTATTTAGAGACGAGACGACTACATTGTTTTTCTCCTTTTGTTGGAAAGTATGTGATGTTCATTACTTATTTCATGTATGGAGTTCTTTTTTGAATGATGTTCATTTTTTTTTTCCTTTTTAATAACAGTTTCCTTAAATATAGTGCACAAATGGGAAACAAAGAAAGAAAGCAGAAGTAATAATAGGTTCATCCACGCACATTAATTATGCAAAGTTAACTACTAGTTAAAACCATGCATATTATGATTCTTTTTAACATGTTATGCTTGGAAATTGGTTCTAACGAGATATTATGAGTATTCAAACGAAATATTTTATGAAGAAATAAGAAATTAAAAAATCTTTTTCATGATGAAATGGAACAAATATATACTTCAAATCATAGTTACGTGTGTCGGTGTGTGGAAAATTAAAGACACACCATCTCTATGTAGACTTACTTGAATACTTGATTTCACATTAGCTACATATATCTTTCTATTCACCTTTTGATGATAATTAAAGTATATGTTACATATTGCCACATTGCAGAAAATTATTTTATAAAAATATCAAATGGAGAGTCTCTCACACATTCCTCCCGGTTATCGATTTCATCCAACCGATGAGGAACTCGTTGACTATTATCTTAAGAAGAAAGTTGCATTCCCTGGAATGCAAGTTGATGTTATCAAAGATGTTGATCTTTACAAAATCGAGCCATGGGACATCCAAGGTATGTATGCATTCCAACATCACTAGTCGTTACTTATATGTTACATTAATAGCTCTCATTTATAGTCGATAATGTTTATTTTTTTAAATACAGAGTTATGTGGAAGAGGAACACGAGAAGAGAGAGAATGGTACTTCTTTAGCCACAAGGACAAGAAGTACCCAACAGGGACACGAACCAATAGAGCAACAGGCTCAGGGTTTTGGAAAGCAACGGGTCGAGACAAGGCCATATACTCAAAGCAAGAGCTTGTTGGCATGAGGAAGACTCTTGTGTTTTACAAAGGTCGGGCTCCAAATGGTCAAAAATCTGATTGGATAATGCATGAATATCGTCTTGAGACCGATGAAAATGGACCACCTCATGAGGAAGGGTGGGTGGTTTGTCGCGCTTTCAAGAAGAAACTAACGACGATGATGAATTACAACAATCCAAGAACAATGATGGGATCATCATCATCAGGCCAAGAATCTAATTGGTTTGTACAACAAATGGATGTGGCTAATGGTAACTACTACCATCTTCCTGATCTAGAGAGTCCAAGAATGTTTCAAGCCTCATCATTACATCATAATGATAATGACCCTTATGGTGTTGTACTAAGCACTATCAACGCAACACCAACCACATTAATGCAAGGAGATGAGGAAGGTGATCACGGTCAAGTTATTACTAATGATGATGATCATATGATTATGATGAACACAAACACCGATCATCGATCAGGATTACTACTCAATGATGACCATAATGACCAAGTGATGGATTGGCAAACGCTTGACAAGTTTGTTGCTTCTCAGCTGATCATGAGCCAAGAAGACGAAGAAGTTAACAAAGACCCATCTGATAATTCTTCTAATGGAACATTTCATCATATCTCAGAAGAGCAAGCCACAATGGTTTCAATGAACGCATCGCCTTCTTCTTCTCCATGTTCCTTCTACTCTTGGTCTCAAAACATACACCCATAAGATCCATCCTCATGCTTATACATATAATTAATTGAAGTTCATGCCAGTACCGGTCCTGGCATAGGAAAGACCAGAAGCAATTTTCAAAAAATTGGCCATTTTTATAAGAACGTTTATATTTTTTTTTTTTTTTTAACACTGCTTGGAACAAATATTCGGAAAGATACAAACTTATTAAACGTTACAAGAAAAGAGAGAAGATATCATTAGATATCCAAAAAGAAAAGAAATAAAATTTTACCCATTCTCTAAATGCTGAGCCTCCAAAGCGAGGAGGTGATGTAACCATGCGGGAGCATTGCGGGCAAGATAGAACGTTTATATAGTATAATAATAATTTTCTTATAAAAAAGGCTGAATTTTTCAAGGATTTTTTGAGGGCCGGAAGCGGTTGCTTGTAATGCTTCCCCTCAGGGCCGGTACTGGTTCATGCTTACTGATTACATCATACGCATGTTTTAACGATTACTAATTATAATTTTATACGAAAATTGTTTATTTATTATGTAAACTTTATAGCTTGTTTGTCTCCCGGTGTAGCTTTATAGTTTTATGATATATAATTATTTCTAAATGTGGTTTTGTACTTATGTTAAAAGTTAAAACACACCCAAAAAGAACTTATGTCATCTTTCAAGAAACTCAAGAACACAAGAATCAAACATAAGCAATTAGAAAAACAAGAGTCTACAAGTTTGGGAACACAACATAAGCTGATAAAACACAACACACTAAGAAGACACGGAGATGAGACTGATAAATAGGGGTGGGCACAATTACTTGCTACTCGGCTTGTACTCGCTACCTGATTCGTACTTGGCTCTTAAAGTCGAGTACTCGTTTTGTTCAAGTCGAGTATCAAGTCGTTTATTTCAATTACTTGCAAGTACAAGACAAGTATCAAGTACTAAAATAAAAGTAACTACTTGGCGTTGTTGGCTTGTTACTCGTGATTTATAANTAATAAATTATTATTAAATAAAATTTATATACAAGGTTTAAATAGTAAAAATTATTAAAAAATTATTAAAGAAATTAGTTCAGAAGCAAACAAGTAGTAAAACAGAGCAAGTACTTGCAAGTATACCATATTTTACCAAGTATTTGAAAGTGCAAGTACTCGTTTATAATAAACCAAATACAAGTCCAAAATTTTATTATTCGAACAAGCCAAGCCAAGTATCAAGTACATCCAAAAGGGCAAGTACTTGGCTTGTGCCCACCCCTACTGATAAACACAGACACACTCCCATTATTTTTTTTCTCTCACCATAATTAGAAACATTCTCAAGAAGACACTAAGCAAAACAAAAGAGGCTAATTAATTATTATTCAAAGAAACAACAAAACAGCCTCTGAATCACTCACGTACACACATAGTTTCCATCACTCTTCTTCAGTTTCAAGCATCTGCACAATCTGAGTCACTCCCTCCGCAATTTCGTTGCGGATCATACTGTCTGGCATATCAAATGTTCTTCTCCTCATCGACAATGACTTCCCCTGAGGCTGCGGGTCTACAACCTCCAACATTGCTTCAAGCTCATCCACCATTGATCTCTTTGCTCCTCTAACCATTACATCAACTCCCTGATACCAAAAAAATGTTGGAGAGTGTTCAAGAGTGTCATAACCACAAATTCTATGACATCAAAACACTAAAGAAGTACTACCTCAATGGCATCAACAGTGAGGAGGAGGACAATGATCTTCTCAGAGAACTTCTGGCGCTCCTCTGCATCACGAGAGATCACACGACGGTAGTTGAAGTTGTGGAAGGAAGCTCTTAGCTCCTTAAGTTTGGTCTTTGCGATAGCTAGATCACGAAGAGCACGTAATGCCTTTGAGCGGCGAATCAGGTAAGCTCTGAAAGCTCTCTGGATCATCACAGCAGCGTATTCAGGTGGCATTTCTTTGTTTTTCCCCTTCTTGGTCCTAACTGCTCCACTTCTTCTGGCATACGCCTTTGTAAACCACAACCATTAAGATAAACACACTTCAAAATTAGTATTATCACCACACAAGCACGTAAAGGTTCAACATTTGAACCACTAATCTCAATCATGCCAATTAATATCGAACTAATTTTCTAACCAACTTCATAGACTTATACAAAGCAGTGTTCTAAAAATCCGTATAGTGTCTGCCTAATTATAATTTGTTTTAAAATCGGTCTAGTGCCTAGGAGATAAATAGGACATAAACAAAGATTTTTCTTGAACTATATATATTTTTTTAAAATCGGTCTAGTGTCTGCCTAATTATAATTTGTTACCGCCTAACGATTTCTTGAACATTACAAAATGCAAACTATAGAATCGGTCTAAGTGTCTGCCTAATTGTATTTTGTTACCGCCTAAAGATTTCTTGAACATTACAAAATGCAAACTATAGAATCGGTCTAAGTGTCTGCCTAATAATAATTTCACCTAGTTACCGCCTAACGATTTGATTTCTTGAACATTGCAAAATGCAAACTATAGAATCGGTCTAAGTGTCTGCCTAATAATAATTTCACCTAGTTACCGCCTAACGATTTCTTGAACATTGCAAAATGCAANCGCCTAACGATTTGATTTCTTGAACATTGCAAAATGCAAACTATAGAATCGGTCTAAGTGTCTGCCTAATAATAATTTCACCTAGTTACCGCCTAACGATTTCTTGAACATTGCAAAATGCAAACTATAGAATCGGTCTAGGTATCCGCCTAATAATAATAATTTCACCTAGTTACCGCCTAACGATTTCTTGAACATTGCAAAATGCAAACTATAGAATCGGTCTAGGTGTCTGCCTAATAATAAATCTCACCACCTATAGTTATCGCCTAACGATTTCTTGAACATTGCAAACTATAGAATGGTCATAATCCCATAGTTAAAAATGCATATAAACAAAGTATAACCAAAGAGACCATTTAAAAATAGATGATACCTTCCTGAGAAGGATAGCTCCATGTTCTTCAGACTCATCTTCTTCTTCTTCATCCTCCTCCTCAATCTCCACAACACGTGGCTTCTCCTTCTTCTTGATCTTCTTCACCTTCTTCTCCTTATCCTTCTCCTTCTCACCTCCAGTGGAAGCTTTGATCGTGTAAGTGTGCTGCATCTCTCCATTCTCCCTCTCTGACTTCAACTCCGTCGTCCAATTATAACTCTTCTTCTTCTTTTTCACCATCTCCTTCTTCTTCTTCTCCTCCTCATCAGCCTCAGCATCAGCCTTAGCTTTAGCCTTCGCCTTCTTCAAAGCAACATCATCTTTTTTCCCGCCTTTAATCTCAGTCGTCCACGTGTACTTCCTCTCCCCACCTTCAAACTCAGCTTCCATCTTGTACTTCCTCCCAACTACCCCTCCAATCTCCGCCTCCCATCTATACTTCCTCTCACCAGTCCCCTTGATCTCCTTAGTCACCTTGTACTTCCTGTCGGAACCACCCTTGGGACCACCGACCAATCTCTCGAACTTAGTTTCAAGCTCGGAAACTCTGTCGCAGAGGTACAGGAGAGGGTACTCCGGCTCCACCTTGCGGCGAATCACCTTGTACTTGCAGGAGGACGGAGATTTCTCGATTTTGACCAGATCCGTCACGGTTTCGAATAGATCGAGTGGGGAAGGGAAAGGGAGATCTTCGACATCGTCTTCATCAAACCATGTTGGAGGCTCGAGAAAGGAGGTTTCTCGGACGATGAGAGGAGGATAACAGGTGTGGTACGGTTCGATGAGATCGAGTCTACGAATCCAGCTCATGGTTCACGAGTGAGTCTTTGGTGTTTGAAATTGTAATAATGATATTTGATGGCTTAGTGTGATAAAAGAAACAAAAGCTCTTTTTGTGATTTGTCCTTGTTTTATGTCTTTATGATGATGAGGATTTTTTTGTCGAAATGAATACAAGAATGAAGAAGAGGACAAATTCTTGAGTTTAACGAAGACGGGACGAGACAGTCAAAAAGGGACAAGTGGGCCTTGTGGGCTAATTTGACACCTTCAAATCCGGAAATCCGGTTCGCCTTTTGAATTTTAATTTTTTGAATAAATATTCAGAAGCTTATTATAGTATTAGAAAAAATGAGTTGAATGCAAGAATGTTTGGATGTTTTGAGAGTTTACAGTGTTTCTCATTAGTTATGTTTCAAAGTTCGTTAAAATGGTTTAGTTAACGGGGCCGGTTCATAGATATGAATGACTGAGAATAACCCATACGTATCATAAACCTGTAAAAGACGAAGATGACCCTGAAGCGCGTGGAGTATTACGGCGACAAGAGAATCTTTCGGTGGGATTACACAACCTGGTAAAAAGGTAGATGGTACATTGGGCCTTGTTTTAATCACGTGGACCACACTACAAAAAAATATCTTACGTGTTCGGCTGACTTTCTGACTAGGCTAAAGTATTGGAATGGCAAAATCATACTATTAGGTAACTCCTTGATTAATTACCCCCTACAGGTTCAATTGTCAATCTCTCAATTATGAATTATATAAACCATTTTAATGGTTTGAACAAAAAAATAAACCATCTAAATGCTCCAGGCCAAGTTAATGGGCTATAACTGAATGATGTAGGCCCAAATAAAACTATTTGCTCATTATATAATCTTTTTTTTGGGTCAAATGCTCATTATATAATCTTTGGTCAATAAGGATGGATAAAAAAGAAAAAAAAAAAGGAAATGGATGAAACCAAAGATCAGCCCCAAATGGTTAAACATCAAATTGGTCTAGAAACCCACGTAACTTCCCTGGCCCAGTTAAGTGGGCTAATGGCCTTAGGCTGAAATAAACTCTTTTGAATGACTAGGCCTCACAAACCGGTAAGATATTTAGGGTTTTCGTTCCAGGAGTCTTTATATTTAAGGTTAAAATTTTTTAGCTCTCTGTTACTACCTTCATCGCCGTCGTCGCTTTGCCGAAAAAGAAGAAAGAAAGAGGTTGAAAACATGGCTTATGCAGCAATGAAGCCCACGAAGGCCGGTTTGGAAGAGCCACTCGAACAAATTCACAAGATCAGGATTACTCTCTCCTCCAAAAATGTGAAGAACCTTGAGAAAGGTGTTTACATCTCTTCCTTTTGATTACCTAATCGTCTCATTTTAGAATGGTTATGATTAGCTCTGGTCTTAGTCCATTGAGAATTTTGAGAGTTTAAGAAATCTGTTAGACGAATCAAATTAGCCTATCAATGGTTTACGAACTAGGGTTTAGCAAAGGTTGTAGCTTTATTCTAATTGGTTCAAATGTAAGAATTTTTGGTCGGACAGTGAAGTATTGTTATTGATGTTTTATTGTTTTGGTGTAGTGTGTGCTGATTTGGTTCGTGGGGCAAAGGACAAGAGACTCAGAACCAAAGGACCAGTGAGAATGCCCACCAAGGTTCTTAAGATCACTACCCGTAAAGCTCCTTGTGGTGAAGGTAATTTATATATGATTCTTGTCTCAACTTGATCATTTGCTTTCCATGATGTACCATTAATACGATTAGACTAGGGATTACTTCTTTGTTGAAACTCGTTACCATTGTTATTTTTACAGGAACCAACACATGGGACAGATTCGAGCTTAGGGTTCACAAGCGTGTGATTGATCTCTTCAGCTCTCCTGATGTGGTCAAGCAAATCACTTCCATCACCATTGAACCTGGTGTTGAGGTTGAAGTCACCATCGCCGACTCCTAGATACTTTTTTTTGTTTAATATGAGAATCTCTGCAAAAAACTAGAATCTCATACTTTACCTGTACTTCAAGCTTACACTTCTGTCTTCCCGGTTGATTTGGGATTAAAAACCAATGTTTTTATTTGCTGTAGTGAAACTTTTAGCTCTTGCGTTTTCCAGAGTATTTTATTTTACATCTGTCGAAGATTGAAATCATAATATCGACGTTCTTCCACACAATTTTTTTAGATTCGTTTAGTTGTTAAAAGAACTTGAATTGTTATAATCAAACATTGGAACGACCTTTATTACTCAACATACATATTTCTTTGGGTCTCATATTTTATGCGCCATATTACTTGCATGCAATAACGAGTTTATGTAAGCGTAGCACATGATACCTTCACCTCCATTGGAGTACTTGTCACACTCCAACACATGGAAAACATAAATAGTTTCTCCATATCATTCAAGAATAGCACACAAATTATCCACAGGCCTCCACAGGCCTATCTCATGTATTATATAGGCCCTGAGCAAAAAAATTGTGATGGACCCTGTGCCAATGCACCTCCAGCACATGCTTAGGGCTGGGCCTGATTATCCATAATGGCATAATAGAATACATTTCTCCCAAATTAGTGTTTACATTTAGGTTAATGTTAAGTATGAAGTTCAGACACAAAAAGGAAAGAATAGCAGTATATAGCACACACACAGATATATGCTCTGATTTCTTCTCACTATGCACTAGTCATCTAAATAGCAGAAACGAAACCCTCCGAATGATCTGGAGTGTTTACGAACTTTTTCTAAAATATTCAGTTTCCCGCCCATTTTCCCCCAAATCCAAAAACCCTCGTTTCAAAATTCCAAATCGGCTCACATAATAACTATCCCCCCCAACACAAAATCAAAATTGAATTCAGATTCATCTCTCCCAACGTCTCAATTCCGCGTAACCATCTCCTCCTCTTCCAATTGAATCTCCTCGAAGATGCACATAAAGGAGATATGCCTCGAAGGATTCAAATCATACGCAACGAGAACCATCGTCTCCGGCTTCGACCCCCACTTCAACGCGATAACGGGCCTTAACGGGTCGGGCAAATCCAACATCCTAGATTCAATCTGTTTCGTTCTGGGTATCACCAATCTCCAGCAGGTTCGAGCTGCTAATCTCCAGGAACTCGTCTACAAGCAAGGCCAAGCTGGGATCACCAAGGCCACCGTCTCCGTTACCTTTGATAATTCCGAGAGACATAGAAGCCCTCTTGGGTACGAGGAGCATCCTGAGATCACTGTTACTCGACAGGTAGGGTTTAATTGGGTTTTTTTTTTATCTTTCTAATTGATGTAAAGTTTATAGCTTTAGCACCGTTCGTTTGTATCAGTTCGTGGGGTTTTTGATTGATTTGAAAACCCTAATTTTGAATGTGACTAGGCGTTTTGGGTATTGGTTGGGATTGGGTAGGGTTTAGAGGATTTATAGAAGAACCAGCAAATTTTTGGTGGTTTGGATTGGTTCATGTAGTTTCGGGTTTGGATCGGTTAGAATAGTAGAACTAGGAACCAAAAGTATCATAGGTTCCCATTTGGTTCCGGTTTAGTTATTTCGGGTAATTTGAGTAAAATTATCAGGTATCTATGGTAAAATATTGAGTTTAGGATGATTTGGATAAAAATCTAAGATAATTCGGATTATTTTGGATATTTCGGATAAACACATGCCTAGTTATTTAGATTCGTTTGTTGTTGTAAAAAAAAATATATTCAGATACTTTCGGATAATTTCGGTTTTTTGGATATTGGTAATAGAACTTTAAATTATATATGTATATATTTAGTTATGTGTATATATAGTTATTTTCTTAAAATATTCGGGTATCTATTCAGTTATTTCAGTTCGATTCCATTAATTTTGTGCCCATGCTTGAGGCTTGTGATGGTGAAATGGCTCTTTCGTTTGCTTACTGTAACGTTTTTTCCTTTTGGTTTTGAAGATTGTGGTTGGTGGTAGGAACAAGTATTTGATTAATGGGAAGCTTGCACAACCAAATCAAGTTCAGAATCTATTCCACTCGGTGCAGCTTAATGTCAACAATCCACACTTTCTCATCATGCAAGGGCGTATCACCAAAGTCTTGAACATGAAACCTCCCGAGATTTTGTCAATGCTCGAGGAAGCTGCTGGGACAAGAATGTATGAAAACAAGAAAGAGGCTGCGCTGAAGACGCTTGAGAAGAAGCAGACAAAGGTTGATGAGATTAACAAGCTTCTGGATCATGAGATATTGCCTGCTTTGGAGAAACTGAGGAAGGAAAAGGCGCAGTACATGCAGTGGGCTAATGGTAACGCGGAGCTAGATAGGCTGAAGAGGTTCTGTATTGCCTTTGAGTATGTTCAAGCAGAGAAGATTAGAGACAACGCTGTACATGGGGTGGAAGAAATGAAGGCAAAACTCACTAGTATTGACGAGGAAGAAGAAAAGGCACAGGAGGAAGTAAAGGGTATTGAGAAACAGATTAAGGATTTGACTCGGGCAAAGGAAGCCAGCATGGGGGGAGAGGTAAAAACTCTGTCAGAGAAAGTGGATTCACTGTCTCAAGAAATGACACGTGAGTCATCTAAACTTAGTAACAAGGAGGACACCCTTCTTGGAGAACAAGAGAATGCTGAAAAGGTTAGAAACATAACAAAAATGTTTTTCTTTTGTTGTTGTTAGAACTGTTACAAATTCTCAGCTACTTCTGACATCTATAACTCCCTACTTGGTGTTGCTAGATTGTTCATAATATAGAAGAGTTGAAAAAATCTGTAAAAGAGAGAGCCGCTGCTGTGAAGAAGTCTGAGGAAGGAGCAGCAGACCTAAAACAAAGATTCCAGGAACTATCCACCAAACTAGAAGAATGTGAAAAGGAGCACCAGGTAGTACCACTAAGAAACATATTGTCGTTTCTTGCCATATAATTTTTGATTTATGTTAACTTGTGTCTCTTGGTTATTAGGGCGTACTAGCTGGGAAGAGTAGTGGTGATGAAGAGAAATGCCTAGAAGATCAACTACGGGATGCAAAGATTGCTGTTGGAACAGCAGGAACGGAGTTGCAACAACTGAAAACCAAAATAGGACACTGTGAAAAGGAGCTAAAGGAGAGAAAGTCTCAGTTAATGTCAAAACAGGATGAAGCCGTTGAAGTTGAGAATGAACTTGGTTCTAGAAAAAGTGACGTGGAACGTGTAAAAAGGGCACTTGAGTCTATTCCTTATAAAGAGGGTCAAATGGAAGCATTGGAGAAGGTTAGCCTAGTTGATTTCATCAATCTTTACATGAAGTATACATCTCTAACTGAACTATTCGTTTAGGACCGTGCATCTGTACTTGAAGTTGTGCAAAGGCTAGAAGATAAAGTCCGTGGTTTATCAGCTCAATTAGCAAATGTTCAGTTTTCATACCGAGATCCTGTGAGAAACTTTGACAGATCAAAGGTGAAAGGTGTGGTCGCTAAACTAATAAAAGTAAAAGATAGGAACACAATGACAGCGTTGGAGGTAAATTTGGTATCTTATCGCTACACAATACTCATTGTTGGATTTCAAAATTCTAAAGTCATTTTGCGTCTTGTTATCAGGTTACTGCTGGTGGGAAGTTGTATAATGTTGTTGTGGACTCAGAAGAGACTGGAAAACAGCTCCTTCAAAACGGTGCTCTTAGGAGAAGGGTTACCATTATACCTCTCAACAAAATTCAATCTTACGTTGTTCAGCCTAGAGTGCAGCAAGCGACTGCTAGATTGGTATATGGTTCTTTTCTTAGTTTTTTTCATATTTTAATACCTTTGGTTTTTCGTTCTTTGCTAATTTTCTATTTTATTTTTAGGTGGGGAAGGATAATGCAGAACTGGCACTTTCTTTAGTCGGTTATAGCGAGGAATTAAAGGTATCTGATAATTAATCCTCCAATTTAACAAGTTTTCAGTAATAGCATAAAATGCATGACTGATAATCTTCCATTTCATTCATGAGCTTTGATAAATGAATTTCAACTGCAAGTTCTGCTTTGACTGAATCATGGTCTTTTGCAGAATGCCATGGAGTTTGTTTTTGGCTCCACTTTTGTTTGCAAAACTACTGATGCAGCAAAGGAAGTAAGTCTTTACCACGGATTTAGAGTATTTTATGTGGTGTTTCTGGGGCTTAAATATAATTTTGACTCGACATGGAATATGCATTGCGTAGATGATTTATTTGTCTGAGCTATTCTTCTGGGAACATTATATGCATTTGTAGCTGAGCCTTTGGTATATAGATTGTTAAAGCTATCTCTTATCAAACACATGATAGAAGTCAAAATTTTAAACACCATGTTCTCTCTTTATGTTAATGGAATGTACTTAATTGCATGGCCTTTCTGGAGCTGGTTCTAGCAGTGGGAGAATACTCTTGATGAATTAGATCTGATAACCGTTTCTTAAGCTTTATCTCTTTTATTGAGTTATAATTCCAACATCTACTGTACGTTGATTTATGTCCCATTTTCTTCGCTACTGTTTAGTGTTCACTCTATTCCCTGCCCCTCATTGTTTCTTCTGCAGGTTGCTTTCAATAGGGATATTCGGACTCCAAGTGTCACACTTGAAGGTGATATTTTCCAGCCCAGTGGTCTTCTCACTGGTGGGAGTCGAAAGTAGGTTTTTCTACCTTGGAGTCTTAGATCTTTTCTGAGACTTGATTTCTCATGGATGTGTTCAGAAATGCGTAAAACTCAAGGACAAAAGCATTTTTTCTTATAAATTCATTTGCCTTTGCCTTAGGGGTGGAGGTGATCTCCTTAGGCAACTTCATGACCTGGCAGAAGCCGAATCAGAATTACAAGGACACCAGAAAAGGTTGGCTTACATTGAAGCGCAGGTAAACCCTTAAGCTATTCTTCTGTCGCGATAGAACTAAATATATCTTCGTAATGCTATCTGGTTGCTCTTTTTAGGCTCCTCATGTCACAGTACAAAAGTGCTTTCAGTACTTAAACGTTAACTGCTTGTTTATCTTGACATCTCAGATCAAAGAGCTTCAGCCTCTTCAAAGAAAGTTCACAGATGTTAAAGCACAGCTGGAGCTAAAAACATATGAATTGTCCTTATTTCTGAAGAGGGCTGAACAGAATGAGCATCACAAGGTTTATATCTCCGTCTTCGATCTATATCTTAAGCTAAATTATCAGTTTCATATTGTCTTTTATTCATACCTGAGGCACATGTTTACACTTTCCATCCCTCGTACCTATCTATATATAGCTTGGCGAAGCAGTACAAAAACTTGAAGCAGAGCTTGAAGAAGCGAGATCCCAAATTAAAGAAAAGGAACTTGCTTACAAGAATTGTGTTGATACTGTCTCCACATTAGAGAAATCCATCAAAGACCATGACAAAAACAGAGAGGGAAGACTGAAAGGTTTGGAAAAAAATATCAAGACCATCAAAGCTCAGATGCAGGCAGCTTCTAAAGATTTAAAGGTATTCTAGTTTTTTCAGTCAAGTATTCGTAGGCCACTGAACTACTTAAGTCATATTTTCTTATATTGTCCTGAGTTATCCAAATTTATCATGGAAACATTGCCTTCTGATTTTTTCTGGCACTTCCAAAATTCGCTGTAACGTTCTGTGGTTCTTCATGCTCACAGAGTCATGAAAATGAGAAAGAGAAGCTTGTGATGGAGGAAGAAGCGATGGTTCAGGAACAATCTTCCTTGGAAAGCCAGTTAGCTTCATTGAAAACCCAAATTACCACTCTGACTACGGAAGTAGACGAGCAGCGGGCCAAGGTGATTGTAGTGCCACTACTCTTAATTAGATTTGTTAAAAATGAAGCAATATATCATGTTTTATTATTCCCTCTGCAGGTTGGTGCCTTGCAGCAGACTCATGATGAGTCTCTTGCCGAGCTCAAGTTGATACATGCAAAGATGAAGGAATGCGATACACAGATAAGTGGTTTTGTCACTCACCAGGAAAAATGTCTACAGAAGCTTACTGACATGAAGCTTGAGAAAAAGAAGCTGGAAAATGAGGTAGTCTTCCTATCCCGTCTTCTTTTCATGTTTTGGTTTGTTTATTGAAACTTCTGCATGTCAAGGAATATACTTCCCATGAGAACTCTCTCCTATATATTTCATAGGTGGTAAGGATGGAGACAGATCATAAAGACTGCTCAGTGAAAGTTGACAAGCTTGTTGAGAAGCATACATGGATAGCATCTGAAAAGCAACTTTTTGGAAAAGGAGGGACAGATTATGATTTTGAATCTTGTGATCCGTACGTAGCTAGAGAAAAGCTCGAGAAGCTCCAGTCAGATCAATCAAGGTATGTGACAAATCTTCACACATTTCTGTGAGTGCAACATAATAATCTTCTTCTGTTGCTGGTTATATTTCATTATCCTCATGAAGCTTGGAAAAAAGAGTGAACAAGAAGGTTATGGCTATGTTTGAGAAAGCAGAAGATGAATACAATGCGCTGATATCAAAGAAAAATACAATCGAGGTTAGTTACTGAGTGCTGAGGACCTGATTATTTTCAATAGTCACTAATGGAACTTTTGTTCATTTAGAATGACAAATCCAAGATCACGAAAGTGATTGAGGAGCTTGATGAGAAGAAAAAAGAAACCTTGAAAGTTACATGGGTTAAAGTTAACCAGTAAGTTTGCCTTCTTCTCTCCAACAATGAGTCTGTTCTGTTCCTCACCATACCTTTGTTAAATCATATGTTTAGGGATTTCGGATCAATCTTTTCAACTTTACTACCTGGTACCATGGCGAAGCTAGAACCTCCTGAAGGCGGTACCTTCCTTGATGGTCTTGAGGTGCGTGTTGCCTTTGGCAAAGTATGGAAACAGTCTTTGTCTGAACTCAGTGGAGGGCAAAGATCCCTTCTTGCGCTATCGTTAATCTTGGCGTTGCTTCTCTTCAAACCTGCTCCTCTTTATATATTAGACGAGGTACATCTCTACTTTTTCAGTTTCAGATTTCTCAGCAAGTGAAAAGGGAGAAAGAAACATTCATGATTTTTGAACTTGTCAGGTTGATGCAGCTCTTGATCTGAGTCACACACAGAACATAGGAAGAATGATAAAAGCTCATTTCCCTCACTCACAGGTCAAAAACTCTATCTCAACCCTTTACTTAATCTTATGTTGTTTAACTTTAAATCCAGTATACTCAAAACCGTCTCTGCTTTTGAATTTTTTAACAGTTCATTGTGGTTTCGCTGAAAGAAGGAATGTTCAACAATGCCAATGTTCTTTTCCGGACGAAGTTCGTTGATGGAGTTTCTACAGTCCAGAGGACAGTAACAAAGCAGACCAAGTGATCTCTGCTTATACATCAATCGAATCATTAGCTAAATAAGTATCCTTCACTTCACTGCTCAGAAATGTTTTTCGTTGGTGTATCATTTGTCCATAATTTAGCTTTTATGTTTTCTTCTTGCTCTTTGCTGTGAAGAGATATCGGTTTAGATGTTTAATGGGATTCAAAGCCGGTTCGGTTTTTTTATCGGTTCTGTTTGTTTTGTAACTGATGTTTCTTTGTAGCTGAACGGTGTTGAATTTATATTTAACGGAGTATTTTTTACTACGCATTAAAGAAGTGAAAATTGTGGAAGCAGAGCATTCATACATTACAAAGACATGCAAGTAATGTTTCAGCAAGAAATAAGTGATGATGATAAAACCCTTAGCAGAGATCTCCAGCAGGTTCTGGTCGGATGTTTCAGGAACATCAAAAACTTTCTACTCTTTAACAGACACTCATGCATGGGGATCTCAGCCAATGCGACTCTAGCACATGTCTTAAATCATGGATACTACCTCAATGCCATGTCAGAAAATTAAGTCACTATCCAGGCTTTTCTCACTATCTTACAACTTTTTTTTTTTTGAACAAATCTCACTATCTTATAACTAACACCTGAGATTTATATGAATACATAACAATCTTAGAATCATTCGTAATTAATTATATCAAACGGATCTTAAAGATATTCTAGATTCTTCTATGAAGCAGATTATGATCTCTGCTTATGCCTCAATCGAATCATTTGAAGTATAAATCACTAATCCAGCTTTTGCAAGCTCATTCGGTTTTTTAATTAGCAATATTTTTTTTATTAGTGGATCCATTGTCCATATTTTCATATTGCAGTTATCTTGTTACTATGACGAGATTCTGCTGAGTAACTGATAATGCAAACCACTTATGATGGTGGTCTAATAGGATTCAGTGCCGGTTTGGTTTCGTCAATGTTTGTATTAGTTAGGGTTTTGCTACAAATGTTTATTCAGCTGAAAAGACTTTCTGTGAGTTGGTTTTTATTGGTAGGATGCTTGCATGGTTAGGTTGACTAACGAGAATTACGAGATTTATATTTTTGTTCATTTGTATATAGTAATAACTAATAACTACTATCACATCATGATGTTCACAGATTAACGAAAAACCATAAAACTAGTTTTAATTCATGGTTTGATTATTCTTTTTACCTGTTTTTCTCTATAAAATATCTCTAACTCAAACTACTTACAATAAATTTTGTAATGCTGAACCATAAATTAATTCTAATTGCAACCAACAGAAAGGTGCATTCGATCTTATTTTGTTTCAGTATATTTTAAAGATAATAATTCAACATATGTCATTAGTCACTGACATTATCAACAAAAGTAGGAGCAGAAATGCATAAATAATTTAAAGCAGAGACACATTTTGTGAATCGAATTAATATACACTTGAGAGGTCAAGGTTGATAAATTTTTTTGATAATATTGAAATGGTAGTAAGCGGTAGTTGACATTTAATTCTAGTTTACAAAGCAAATATTTATATTAATAGGACTGCAAATTCCAAATGACTAAGAAAACAATAAATCACATGGAAAAGATTTGTGAAATCTTCTGGCGGTGCACTAATAACGCAGGAACATGACTGTCTTTAGTTGTAAAATACTACATGAACCAACATTGCATTTAATTTTATCAAAAAAAATTAATTATAGTTTTATCCATTGAATATGTCAACGCTTAATTCATATGTAATTTGGTTAGTAAGCCAACGTCGATTGCATGCAGTCTCGCCTTTGGATTTGACTTCCATTCCCTTATGAACTATTTTTATATAAACCAAAAATCATTGACAAGTAATCGTATGTCAAACCGCCCTTTCTAATACTATTATTATATCATCATTGAAACGAATATTCTTTCCAACAAAACGCCTCTCAAATGTGAATGAGATTCTAATAATATATATGATTCATAATATAAAATCACAATCTGTTCCTGCTGATTCTTAATTTTTGTAGTATATCATATCTTTGAGTGTTTCGTTAAGACAACTTGGAAAATATGAATTATGCTGGTTTAAAAACTAAAAAACTAATTCATGGTGGTTCTATTCGTAATATATATAAGCAATAGTTAAGGTTCAGATGTAAATTTTTTTTTTTCAAATGTAATTTCTACTGTGATTTCAATCATAAATAATTATCATTGACGTTGTAAACTGTAAACTGTAAAAATAAACAGAATATTATAAACAAAGGAATGATAACATGCATGAGTTATGATTTATGTTATGAAAAAAGAAACATGTTAGACCATTACTTCAATTAAAAGTTAGATGAGTAATCAAAGATTAATCAGTTGACAGTTAATTAGCTTGTAAACTTTCTAATAATATCAACTTGCAAAATAAAAATGTAAGAACAACCATATTTTGGAAACACTCAAAACACTAATGAGGAAATTTATTGAGGAGACAAGATATCATCTTGAGGTTTGAGAGATGAGGATTTGGGTAGGCTAAGAAAATCCCAGAAGACATGGAAAACTCTCGTGCTTCAATAGTCCCAATTTTATCTTACATCTCACAACTTTATAACATTAAACTATCATAAGATACTCCCTATATAGGTCATATTCTACGTATAATAATTCATGTCATTAGGGAAATTGTTTTAGAAAGAATTAAAAAAGTCAAGATCGTTGACCTTTTAATTGCCTATATAAACACATCATAGTCTCAAGTCTCATCATTCAACAGAGAGAAACACATTGAGTCTTGTGAGGAAAAAAAAAGAGAAAAGTAAGAGAGACATGAGGAGCGACGTGGCACGTCTCAGGTGTGGGAAGACGATTCCTTTGCTTGGAATGGGAACTTATTGTCCTAAAAAGGACCGAGAGAGCACCATCTCAGCCGTCCATCAAGCCATCAAGGTTCATTTTCTCTCTTCTAAAATTATTTCATGTATAGCAAAAACTTTATCAGATGATCTTATAAGTTTATAATATACTGTGTGTACGTTATTTCTTGTATATCACTTGACCAACAAATATGATGAAATTCTAGAATAATTCTATTAATGCAAAATCATAACTCTATATTTATAGAACTATTTACAAGTATGAAAAGATAAAATAAATAAGAAAATTAAAATACAAAAATGTTAGCTATTCCAGTAAAAATAATTAAGGCATTTTCTCTAATCCTTGTAATTGTAACTTCCGATGTCTCATAAGCTTACTTACTGGAATGGACACAGATAGGATATAGACATTTTGACACAGCAAAGATATATGGATCAGAAGAAGCTTTAGGAACTGCATTGGGTCAAGCTATCTCCTATGGAACTGTACAAAGAGAAGACATCTTTGTCACTTCAAAGTTATGGTCTAGCGATCACCATGACCCTATCGCTGCCCTCACACAAACTCTCAAGTAAGCTTCCCTCTACAAACACAAACACTCACCTACAATGTTATGAAGGTCTACAGATCAATCTCATGACCATATATATTGTTTATGACTTTATAGGACAATGGGGTTAGAGTATCTAGATAATTACTTGGTGCATTGGCCAATAAAGCTTAAACCCGGAGTGAGTGAACCTATCCCAAAGGAAGAAGAGTTTGAGAAAGATTTGGGGATTGAAGAAACATGGCAAGGTATGGAGAGATGCTTGGAGATGGGTTTGTGTAAATCCATTGGTGTTAGCAACTTCTCTTCTAAAAAGATCGATGATCTCCTCGATTTCGCTTCTGTTTCTCCTTCAGTTAACCAGGTTTGGATGCACACAATATTACCAAGATTTATTGCTTTCTTATTGTGAGAGTAAATAAACTAAGATTTTTGTGTATATCTATAGGTGGAGATGCATCCATTGTGGAGACAAAACAAGCTGAGGAAAGTGTGTGAAGAGAATAAGATCCATGTAAGTGGATATTCACCACTTGGTGCGCCAGGGAATTGTTGGGGTTCAACAGCTGTGATTGAACATCCTGTCATCAAATCCATTGCCCTCAAGCATAATGCCACCCCAGCTCAGGTAATCCAAAAAGTAAATATATAACTTCCTTCGGGTTCTTTACCCTTTTTCTATGAGCCTTATCTAATTTCAATTTATATCTATACATGAAGGTGGCTCTAAGGTGGGGAATGTCAAAAGGGGCAAGTGTGATAGTGAAGAGTTTCAATGGAGCAAGAATGAGAGAAAATAAGAGAGCCTTAGAGGTTAATTTAGATGATCAAGACTTGTCACTCATTGACCAATTAGAGGAGTGGAAGCTCATGAGAGGAGATTTCCTTGTTAATCAAACCACAAGCCCTTACAAATCTATAGAACAACTTTGGGATAATGAGATATAACTGATTAGGGTTTCACATTATTCCATCCAAAATGTAATTTCATCTCCACATTATCTTGTTGCTTATGATCATCCTTTTTTCTTTGGTATATAATTAAAGTCATCACAGCATGATTGTTCTATAAATTTATACTTAAAAGATAAAACTAATGTAACTTAGTTAAAGCTCTGCTGGTTGAGACGTTGAGTCACAAGTACAATCATACATTGATGCAGGCCAGTTTCTTGTAAACATAAGAAAACATTGCGATTTGTATTTTGTTATGATCTTCAAACATAGTTTCACGTTTATAAGTTCAACAAGTGATGACATGGTGGTATTAGAAATATATTTTGTTTCGTTCTTTTGAAGCTTGATACTTAAAACGGATATTGAATTCACTAAATATCTGAACCCGAATGGATATTTAAAGATAACCAAACATATGTATATTTAGTCATATATTTCTAGTTTACTTCTTTTATTTTATTTAAAAAATTATATTAATGTTTCATATGGCTTAAGATTGGATAATATTCATATAATTGCTGACAAATTGATTTGTTACCCACTTAAAATACATGTTTCACGCATTAACAAAAGTTGCATCCGAGTTCTCAAAACAACAACCATTAGTGTATTTATATTCTCAAAATTTTGTTTTCAAATCTATTAATTATCCAACCTATTAAAACTTAAAGACAATCAGTTAAGTTAATAGTAAATTTTGAAGTAAAAGAAACTTAAATTTTCAAATTCTAAATTCTAAAATATCTGAATCTGACACAAAATACTTAATGCAAACTAAAAATATCTAAACCCAACCGATAAGTAAAATACATGAATGGGTTCTATACCCCTATGTTAAAATATATAAAAGAAAATCTGAAATACATGATCCGAATTCAAATATGTACCCATACACCAATAATGGCTAGATATTTTTATAATTATCCATGAGTATCGGTTTACTTTTGGTTTATATCTAGAACTGAATGGATACCCGTTTAAACTGAATCTATGTTCAAAAAACATAGAACCGTACCTTCTAAGAGTCCAGTCCGGAATGGAAAATGAAGTAAGTAAAAAATGCAATACCATTAGACTAGAGTGCACTGCCATATGAGACGCTTTCTTGATTTTTTTGATAACTTAAGGCACATGTTATTGGAGAGGTACTTTTGCTTTTTTTTTTTAAGTTATTATGATAAGTTTATAAAAAGTGTGACTCTATTATCTGACCATTCAATGGAGAAAGTAAACAAGATCATATGGGTTGAATCATTTGTACTTTATTTACCTCACCATATTTAATTTGTTTCAATTTCTGGTGTGTAAATCTATTAATAATAGCAATCCTAATAGCAATCATTTTGTGTATTTTTCAGTTTTAAAAATATTACATCTTTTTTATATAAAAAATAAACTCTGTTAGTTTTAAGAGATGTATCTTTTCATTATAAAAATAAATTAGTTTAACAAGTAGTTAAATATCTAAATAAATATCTTTCCACAATTATTAGTTTTAAAAGTTGGGTCTCCTCATTATAAAAGATAAATTAGTAAAAAGAAGGGTAAATTAAAAAAAAAATAAACCATAATGAAATAGTTTTTGTCCCTTTATACCTTTGTATTAATTGGTCAGTTTTGGACATAATTACTCTTATAATAATAATAATCATTATTAAAAATGATATCGAGATCCGAAAAATATGAAAAATTCAATACAATTATGAGAATATTCTATACATTTTGATATAAAAAGTTAAATTAAAAAAAATGTGTTAACCTAAATTTGTTAGAATGTATATTATTACTCTTTTTACAAGGATAAAATACATACTCTAACTTGTTTTCAACGTTTTTAAAAAATTTAGTATTTGTATTGTAAATACTTATCTATGATCTATCTAAATATAGAACATGTATGACTCAGTTCTAGCCAAAACACATTGTTATTTCTAACATACAATGTATATTCTAGGTTTTTTACTTCATTGTAAGAGAATCTAAAAAATGTATACCTCCATTCTATCCTCTATTATATAACATACTAGGTGTTTTGCCCGCACTTGCGGGCATAAGTCTCTTATGAATATTTATTAGTTGATGTTTCAATAATTTATTATTTACGTTTTCAAAAATTATAAATCAAACATCAAATAATTATAAATAACAAAACTCAAACATCAAAAATATTTAAAAGAATATATTTCTATAATTATTTTTCTTGATTTATATTTAATTATAATATTTATACAAATATTTTTACATAATTTATATTTAATTATAATTTTATATCTTAATTTTAAATTTTATAATAGAAAAACATATTTTCAAGATAACAATATAATGTATAAGTTATTTATTTTCTAAAAATATAATATGATAAATTCTTTTTAATTATATAATAATTATATAATATTATAGAAATGATGACATATAATTAAAATTAATTAAAATCATGGAAAACTTAACAAATCAGCAAATTCACTTCTTAAATAATTTTGCTTGAGTGATGATTTATATTTAATTTATAATAGTTAATTTTTCAATTTTACTTTTAAATTATATAATATAAAATATATTTTCAAGATGACAACATAATACATAATAATTATCTTATTTTGTAAAATTATAATATTATTAGTATTTTAATTATAGAATAACTACAACTTTTTATATCTTAATTTTAAATTTCTAATAGAAAAATATATTTTCAAGACAACAAAAAATTACATAAGAAATATCTTATTTTCTAAAAATCTGACACTGTTAATAATTTTTAAAAAAATATATGATAAATTATATATAGAATTGTAGAAATTATGATAAATTATCAAAGTTATCTAAAATCATGAAAAATATGACAAATTAGCAAACATAAAATCCACTTCTTAAATAATAGTATTGATTTTTTACAATTTAATTAAATTCTATAGTAAAATATATATTTTCAAAATAACAACATAATACATAATAATTAAATTATATTTAAAAATATAATATTAGTAATATAAATTAGTTTTAACTATATAATAAATAATAAACAAAATTAAAGAAATTATGATAAATGATCAAAATTACCTTGGACCATGGAGAAGTTGACAAATCAACAAATTCACTTCTCAAATAATTGTTTTCATGATTTATATATAATTATTATTAATATAATTTTTATATCTTAATTTTGTGTTTTATATAAGTAAAATATATTTTCAACATAACAACATAATACATAAAAATTATCTTATTTTAGAAAATATGAAGTTATTAACATAAGTTCGTTTTAGTTATATAATAAATATAATAATTTTTATATCTTAATTTAAAATTTAAATTTTTTTTATATAAAAATAGTTCAAGATAACAACATAATTCATAAGAATTATCTTCTTTTCTAAAAATATGGTATATTCATAGAAATTCGTTTTATTTATAAATAAATACAAATATGATAAATATGATAAATAAACAAAATTACCTAAACTTATGGAGAACATGACACCTCAGCAAAATTACTTCTTAAATAATAGTATAGATTGTATAGATAAACTTCATTGTTATAAAAAGATAAACTTCATTGTTCTATACCATCCCTAAGATAAACCTTCGGCTGATATACATAGATGAGATAGCCCCATCTCAATATTGTTTGTGAAAATACTGAGGTTGTCAAGAATTTCTAATCCAAGATCTATGAATTAGTTGAGATTATGAGGTGATAAAAATAGATATTAACGGGCTTTCAAGATGATGCAATCCAGTTCATTGTTTTTTAAAACAAAACCAACATTGATGCCAAAGCATTATTCAAATATTAGAAACTGCCTACAGACATTTCATCATTTTCAATTATGCCTTCTGAGTCTTCTTGATCACCTTCGAAGTCGCTGATACGCGAGACTTCTTGGTTGCGAGACCACTTGAAGATGTTCCTGCAGAAGTTGATTGCTGACGATCATTACCACGAACATCATAATTCAATTTCCTATAATTAAAAATTATTAGAATCATATAGAGTTTAAACTTCCATAGTCTAAGAAAAATAATGTTAGCTGTACAACCTGCAGCTGGCTGTGATGACAAAACTCATTCAGCTGAGCAGCTATGAAATGCTGAGAGGCTCAACCTTGAAAATATTTTACAATGTGTTTTCCATTTGACTATGTAAAAATATATATTTTTTTATTTTCATATCAGCTAGCGTTGAAATTATGGCTGGACTTTTTTGGTATATAATATTTTTAATTTTTCGCACTGATTTGAATATAATAACCTTACATTTTGTGTTCACAATACTTAGAAAACATATATTTATTTACCATTAAACCTGTTTTTTAATTTTTTGTAAATGTTTAATTTATTCTCAGTTACACATGCATGTAGCATCAATTTCAACTGTTTTTATTTACATTTTTATTTGATTTTATTTTTTATAAGTTACGTAATTATTTCATTATTAAAATAATTCTGAAAAATGTAACTGTTTTTATTTTTGAAGTTAGTTCTAGTTTGATTTTGGAAGGAAGTAGAATGTAATTTTTAATACTTTGATCGATTAGATTTAACACAGAAAACATAGACCATACTTTCAAGTTCAAAAAAAAAAAAAAACATAGACCATACTTTTTGTATGTTTATTTCTTGAATTCAGTTTCGTTTATTTCATACATTTTTGTTAAAAATGATGATTTATATGATCCCACCCACGCTTCTGCTACTCAGCCGCCGCAGCTTTATCTCCGAATAATCAATTGATTCAATTCACTGCATGGCCAGCGATTCTCCACTCTCTCAGTTCGCCGGCGGAGATGGTCGTCTCAGGCACTCCTTCTTCTCCGACTTCTTCCGCCATCGATTTCCTCTCCCTCTGTTCTCACCTCAAGGTAATGCTACTTTATTGGAAATTTGGAATGATACGCTTATTGTTTTCCACTGTGACTCAGGGTTCTCTGCGATCTCAACAAAATCATCGTTATTTATAGAATCAAGCATTGTTCTATGTGGGATGTGGCTAT